CTGCCAAGAATCCTACCAAGAATCCAAGGGTTACTGGCCTGGGGGGAGGGACGGGGAAGGGACGGACGAGGTGATCTCCCCCCCCAGGGTCAATAAGGCTCTTGGCAGTCTCACTGGAACCGGCATTGCCCGGTTTGAGACCCCCAGAGGTGGCGTTGCTAGATGGGTGGGGTGCTGCTGACACCCCAGGCCGCTCTCAGCCGCTCACCCCCAAACTGGGAGTATCTAGGCAGGGCTGGAGGCTTGACCAGGCTGGGCAGATGCCCATTGGGGATGGTCTAGCTCTGCGGCTTTCTAACTCCGGGGCCCAACCCAGCACTGGGGCGGGAATGTGGGGTGCTGGGTCTCACGGCTGCAGGGGATCAGGTGATGAATGGAGGTGCTACGGCAGCTCCCTGCCTGGCCTGGCCCCAGAAGTGGCCGCAGCAGGCCCGGCTCCGAGGTGCGGGGTGAAGCGTATAGGGCTCTGTGCGCTGCCCCTGCCCCAAGCACCAGCGGGAGTATGGGGCTAGCTGGGAACCTGCTTCTGGGGCGCAGGAGAGGCAGGAAGCTGCCTTAGCCCCCCTGCTGCCCGAGAGCTGCTCTAGGTAAGCCCCTTCCTACACCCCAAAACTCCTCCCCTGCCCCACCCTGCAGCCCCCCACTCCAGTGACATGATGTCAGGTTGCGGCATCAACCGTTTTCTTCAACTGGGGCATGAAAAAAGTTTGAAAACTGCTGAGCTAGGCTGACGTCCCCTCCGAGGCTTCTCCACTTCAAGGTTCATTCCCCCACCTCCTCCCCGGGGCCCTGGCCTCTCTGTGCCCCTGGCTAACTCCTCCGGTGGGCAGGACGGGCTGCTTCCTGTGCGGCCGACGTGTCCCCCTCTCCCTGCAGGCGTCCAACTGCGTCCCGATCCCCAGCTGGGCGGGAGACCCCCGGGACGAGGTGCTGCTGCAACTCCTCCCACTGCTGGTGCAGCTCACCTGCGGCACCAGCTAGACCCCCGTCCCTCACGCCAGGCTGTCGCCGGGGATGGCCGGGATCCGGGCGGCGCGCCCCGCCCGCCTGCCTGTGCCGTGGGTCTCAGCTGTGCCCTGTGGGATGGAGTCTGGCAGTGATGTGGCAAGTGCCACACACATCGGGGGGGGAGGGGTGTTGATCTATTGATAACATGGGGTGATCCGCTCCTAGTGGCCTCAGGGTGTGATGCTGGTCCGGCAATAATACCCCTGTAGCACAATGGCAGAGCGTCCTGCATCTGCCCCTCCCCCAGAGCTGCTCCATTGAGGAGAACAACCTACTACTGCAGCAGATTGGTGGAGTTACCCGAGCAGGAGGCCTGGGTGGTAATGCTGGGGGTATCCGTCCCTGACCCGCTGGGATCCCCACAAGCTGGGGGAGTGTCTCACCCCCCCTGCCTGCGATGGACGATGTGTCCGGAGTTGGCCAGTGTTTACATGCCTTGCCTACAGGGTCCGGGCCCAGGCCTGGCTCGGATAAAGCTCTGCCCACCGGTGCTTTCCCCTTTGATGCTCCTCTTCCGTAGGGCGACGTCCGCACCGAAATCCGGAGGAAATATCGCAGGCAACTGGCTGTGGACTGAGGCTGGGTCTTAGCGCGGCGGGAAAACTCCTTCCCAGAGGCCTCTCCTTGGAGGGTTGGGAGCTGCCCTTCCGGCCCAAAGTTTGCAGCGCTGCTGCCCAGTGTGGTCAGCGACGATGCCGACCTGAGCTCCCCCTCCTCTGGGCACGGCCAACCAGCTGAGAACAGCACTTGGCAATGTAGCACGAGCACAAAGCAGCTTCCTCACCAAGGAATCCCAGTCGGAACCCCCCAACTTTCAAGGTCTGCGGTTCAGAAGTTACTGGTGCCTTTGAGCCCCTCCTTTTTGGGGGGGGGATCTAACTTGAGAATCTCTTAAAGGGGGCTGACTTTTACCCATCAAGGAAAATCAGGGCTCATAGAAACCAGAAGTTCCTTTGAGGGCTTCCCCTCGACTCA